GCTTCCTGCGGGAAGGCGGGGGATCCAGTTCTTCGTGACCGTGGTATTCTTGCCTGCCGAAGTTGTTGTTGGGGGCAGAGGATGCAAAGCTTGGGGCCTGAAATCCTTCTTCCTTAGTATTTGTTGTTGTTGTTGAAGAAGAACTGACATGACAATACCATATTCGTACCAGGTGTAGAACCCAGTGGTTCAATATCACGTACGTTAGGAAACAGTCACCGCAACAGGTCTGGTTACCGCGGGTCACCGTGGAAGGTCATGACAGTGTTAGTGACTGGCTTCCCATGCTGTGCGTCACATCTCTCTCTTACTTACTTTGCATCCGGAAGGTTGACACCTCTTCATCCCGTTCATTTCATCCATCCCCCTCCCTCTGGCAGCCGTCGGTTGGTTCTCTGTGTGTCCGAGTCGGTTTCCGTTTTGCTTTGTGTTTCAGGCTGCACGTGTGGGTGGAGTCATACGTATCTGTCTTTCTCTGACTTATCTCAAGGAGCCTAATGGCCTCTAGATTCATCGGTGTTGTCACAAGTGGCAACATTGCGCTCTTTTCACGGCCGAGTAATATTCCGTTGTGTGTATATACCCCACCTTTTTAATCCGGTCGTCCGTCCGTGGACATCCATGACATTTAACTTCCAAATCTTGACTGTTGTAAATAATCCTGTAATGAACATAGGGGTGCATGTGTCTTTTTGGATTAGCGTTTTCATTTTCCTCAGATAAGTGCCCAGAAGTAGACTGCCGGATCGTAGAGTGGTCCTCTTTTCAGTTTTGAGAGAACCTCCGTATTGTTTTCCGTGGTGGCCGCACGGTTTGCGGTCCCTCCGGCAGTGCACGGGGCTGCCTTTTCTCCCACCGCCTCACCAACACCTGTTAGTTCTTATCTTTCTGATCCAAGCCGTTCTGACAGGTGTGAGGTAACACCTCGTTGTGGTTTGGATTTGCGTTTCCGTGACGATTGGTGATGTTGAGCATCTTTCCGTGTGCCCGTTGGCTGCCTGTGTGTCTTCCCTATCTAGCAAAATGTCTCTTCGGGCCCTCTGCCTGGCTGGGTTTTTTATATGGAATTTTATGAGCTCTTTGTGTATTTGGGATGTTAACCCCTTATCAGATACACCGTGTATTCAGTGGGTTGCCTTTTCATTTTGTTGATGATTCCCTTTGCTGTCAAAAGCATTTTAGTTTGATTTAGTCCTTTTTGTTTGTTCTTGCTTTTTTATCGTCCTTGCCTGAGTAGACAGATCCAAAAATATCACCAAAACCAGTGTCCGACAGCTTACTGCCTATGTTTTATTCTAGGAGTTTTATGGTTTCAGGTTTTATATTTAAGTCTGGAATCCATTTGGAGTTCATTTTTGTGGATGGTGTAAGAAGGTGGTTCACTTTCACTCTTTTGCAGGTCGCTGTCCAGTTTCCCTGACATTTATTGGAGAGACTTTCCTTTCCCCGTTGTACCTGTGTCCTTCGTCACAGATCAATTAACGATGCTTTTATGGTCAGCTCCCTGTTGCGTTGACCTGTGTGTGTGTGTGTGTCTTTGTGCTGGTACCAAACTGTTTTGATTACCGTAGCTTCTAGTAGGTCTTGAAACTAGGAAGCGTGATACTCCCGTACCTCTCTTCTTCCTCAAGGTTGCTTTGGCTCTTCATGGTCTCTTGTGCTTCTATACAAACTTTGGGGATTATTTTCGTTTATTTTAGCTCTAGTTCTGTGAGAAGGGCCGTTGGTGTTTTGATAGGGATTGTGTTGAATCTGTAGGCTTCTTCGGGTATTCTGACAGTATTTTTTCAGTCCGCAGCACAGAGTATCTTTCTATATACTTGCATCGTCTTCGGTGTCTTTCATCAGTTTTCTGAGTGCAAGTGATTCACCTTGGCTATATTTACTCCTACATGTTTTATTCTTCTTGATGCAGTAGTAAACAGGATTATTTTCTTAATTGCTCTTTTGATAGTTGGTTATTATTATATAAAAATGCAACAGGGGCGCCTGGGTGGCTCAGTCGGTTGAGCGTCTGACTTCGGCTCAGGTCACGATCTCACAGCTCGTGAGTTCGAGCCCCGCGTCGGGCTCTGTGCCAACAGCTCGGAGCCTGGAGCCTGCTTCCGATTCTGTGTCTCCCTCTGTCTCTGCCCCTAACCCACTCACATTCTGTCTCTGTCTCTCTCAAAAATAAGTAAACATTAACAAAAAAAACTAAAATAAAAAAAATGCAACAGATTTCTGAATATTGATTTTGTATCCTGCCAATTTTAATGAATTGAACTTAATGAATTCAATCCTGCCAATTTAATGAATTCATTTATTGGGTCTAATAGTTTTTGGGTGGATGCTTTAGGGGTTTCTATATGTGGTGTCATATCAACTGTGAATAGTGACAGTTTTACTTCCTAATTACTTGGATGCCATTTATTTCTTTTCCCTATTGCTGCAGCTGGGACTTCCACTAAATTGTTGGATAAAAAAGTGTTGGATAAAAAAAGGTGTTGAATAAAAATGGTAAGAGTGGGCATCCTTAACTTGTCCCTCATATTAGAGGAAATGCTTTCGATCTTTTATCGTTGAGTATGTTAGCTGTGGCTTTGTCATATATGGCCTTTATTATATTGAGGTACATTCCCTCTATACACACTGTGTTGAGAGTTTTTAATCATAAGTGGACATTAAATTGTGTCAGATGCAGGGCACCAGGGTGGCTCAGTCGGTTGGGCGGCCGACTTCAGCTCAGGCCATGATCTCGCAGTTCGCGGGTTCAAGCCCTGCGTCAGGCTCTGTGCTGACAGCTCAGAGCCTGGAGCCCAATTCGGATTCTGTGTCTCCCTCTCTCTCTGACCCTCCCCCGCTCACACTCTATGTCTCTCTCTATCTCAAAAATAGACGTTAAAAAAATTTTTTTTTTAATTGTGTCAGATGCTTCTTCTGCATCTGTGGAGATACCACAGGATTTTCATTCCTCATTTTGTGAACGTGATGTACCAGATTGATATGTGGGTGTTGAACCATCCTTGCATCGCTGCAACAAATCCCACTTGCTTGTGGTGTATGATCCTTTTATTGTAGAGTTGAATTCAGTTTGCTGAGACTCTGTTGAGGATTTTTGCATGTATGTTCATCAGGGATATTGGCCTGAAATGTTCTCTTAGTAGTTGGCCTGTTCAGATTTGCTGTTTCCTCCTTGTTCGATGTTGGAGGATTATATGTTTCTAGGAATTTATTCATTTCATCTGGGTCGTCCAACTTGTTGGCATGTAAGTCTTCCTCGGTATCCTTGGTAGATTAAAAGCAGGGAAATATCTCTTGTGTACAAATCACATGCCCTTAAACGTGGCAGACCTGTGTGTCTTCTCTGTCTAGCAAAATGTCTCTTCAGGCCCTTCACGCATCCTGCAAATCCTACAAGCACCCACTTTGTGTCTCACAGAGGCCCGGGAGCAATGTTTAAGGAAGTAGTAGTTTAAAATGTTCCAGAATCAAAGCAAGTCCTACTGTGTGATGACAACTGGCATTCGTAATGCCGACTCCGAAGGCAGGTAAGGTTCAGAAGCGCTTTGTGAATTGTTCTTCGTTGAACGCTAACAGTGACGCGGAAGGCACCACGCTGCATCCACAGGTCAGATTATGCCGTGAAGTGATATTCGGAAGAAATAGGGGACTTAGAGTCTCTCCACCTCCGGGCGTTGGGCCACCCCACCGCTCAGGCTGCTCACCGTTAGATGGAAGCGAAGCGCCTGTTCCCGCCTCCCTCGAGGTGAGGTCGCGTCTGCAGAGCGCCGAGCTGTAACCACAAGCGGTGAGGGCAGCAGCACGACACAGCCCTGTGTTAAAGGAGAGTGTATCTTTCCGGTCCCTCCTTTCAGTCTCGTTATTCTTGAGGAAGGTTTTAGGGGCTTTTTCCAAGATGCCGGCGTCCTCAGGACTCCTGGCAGGGAGGCGGACGGGCTCCTTCCCACACAGCAGCCCTCACTCCGGTACGAGCAGGTGTCCCAGGCACCTCACAGCCTCCGCCCTGCATAACTTCAGAGAGACGGGAAAACTCTTCTTTCTTGTATGCTAATCGGTTGACGGGGAACATTTTTTTTAGGTTCCAACACTTTTTTCCTTGAATCTTAAAACACTTAAGATACAGCTATTTTCAGACATAAGCGTATAACTTGTTGCCGAGAAACGCAAAATCAATGATTTTCTAAACTGTACACAGATGATTTTGTTAATTACGTTTTTCATTTACCTCCGTATCACATTGGGGGAATTTTTATGTACTTGAGAGAAAGTTCCAAGTGTTCCAGTGACTCAAAGGGAGAAAAGAAGACGTTTTAGGAGTCCGTTTTCCTGGTCCTAAGGTATCTCATGTGCTGCAGGGTAGGGAGAGACAAGGGCAGGTCTTGCCGCCACGGCTGCTCTAGACTGTTGTACCCATTCCCCTGAAATACAGCATGTTCGTCAGGGACTGGTCTCTGTTCCTCAGCATTTCTAATAACAGCTCACTTAATCCTTATGCAAACCCAGTAAAGTAGGGATTCCATTACCCCCGTTTATAGCTAAGTAAACTGAAGCACGGAGAGGCCAGCTAACTTGCCTGTGATCATGTGATTCGACCCCTCATTGTGACATGTCCCAGCCGAAGGGAGAAAGACCCGACAGTGTTCCTGCCTGTGCCAGATTCTCTGCTCCATCCAGTACGAACACGTCTTACTGCGTTTGGTGGTAGATTGAACCAACGAGTAAGAGCCCCGGGACCAGTGTCTGAAATCCCCGGTCCCACAGGCCGGCCCCCAGA